CACGAAGATGCAATTGCCCGTAGGGATCACCAAACTCCTCGGTAAAGTTGTCAGGTGCCGAGTAAAAGTTCGTTTCGTTCCATCGAGGCACGCTTTCTAACGAGCTCCCATGTCAATCCGTTCGCGGCTTCGTAAAGGAGCTTGCTTAGGATTTGCTGAACGACGCTTAATTGTCCCGTTAGCAAATTGCGTTGGCCGCGTATCAACTCGGCCTCGGCAATTGAACCGAACGGCGGGCTGGTTCGGAATGTTCCTCGGGGGCAGATTTAATTGCTACAACTTGGGAACACGGTGTTCCCGAAGCAGATCATCCGCGATATTCGTTGAAATGTATCGGCGATTCATAGAAAATCCGAGCCCCGAACACACCAATAGCAGACGTGACATAATAGGACCGATTAAACGGAATCTTCCAGATAACGGATAGCATCGGTGTCGAAAGTTCCACGTGGCAATTATCACGCGGCAATTATCGAGCAACTCTCTGCAAAATTCCCGGAGCTTAATCGGTCCCTGGATATGATCGGCCGTTATCACCGCGTACGTACGTACGTACGTACGTACGTACACGGTTTATTCCAGTAATACGCCTATTCGTTTCTCACGTTATCGTCGACGCGTTCGCTGTTACGAACCAGTGTCCTCTAATGAATAAAACGGTAAAATAAGAAAAGTACAATAATTATGAAAACGCTGCTCGCGAAACTTCGTTGAAAGATAATAGCGTGGGACGGTATCGATAAGGAAGCGTCTGAAACGTGGATGTTTTCCAACGTCTAGGGACGCATCGTATCGGATAAACTTGGCGCGGCCGCCGGTTTTCACGGAAAACAAGTAAATCTGGCGGGCAGAACCATCGCCGGGCATTATGTAATCCGACGAGCGAGGTGGCCGTCAACCGGAGACCGCCACCGATCCGCGCGCCCAAAATTACGGAATCACCTTGTCACCGGTGCTCGATCATCGGGACATTGACATTGAGACCGGCTCCCCTGACAATGACTGAACGCGGAATCGATTATTCCTCCGCTTGCTCGATCGTTGATTTATTCTTCGATTTACGCTACTCTGTTGTTCTCTTGCTGATTTTTCGACGGAAATCGCCAATAACGGTGGGCCTTCGATCGATTAAGTCTTAATCGTCTATCTCGGGTAACCCGGAACTAACCAGAAGCATCTTCCATCTTTGATAGAACGGTCGCCATTTTGATTAGCATGTAAATCCTGTGTTATTCCAGCGTTGGTTTTCATTCAGCTCGGACGATCGTACTCCTCCTTGGTTATTTCTCCAGGGAAATGTCCAATGCGAGGCAATGCTGGGTTACACGAGCGAGCATCCGTCCAGAGAAACTGGACGACAAATATTTGCCTTCGCACCGGTCACGCGATAAAATCGCCGGTCTCCGGCTAGTCGAGTCGTTCATTTAATACGCTTATTGTGGCATTTAAAGCGGTTGTTTCAGAGGCAGCAGCGCGATCCTCGGGTGATAATTTTCTCGTTTGCTAGCCCACGACGTAAAATCTTCGCGGAATGCGCGGTTCCGACGCTCTTTTCTAATCCCTACGGCTCAAAGCGGCGTTGTGTCGTGTTCCTGGAAGCTAAAAGGGAAAGTAACGAGCACCGTGGCGAAAAGCGCTAGTTTCTCGCGCGAGCAGTTACCACGATATTAATGTCGCTCGAGTCACTTTTCAGTCGTCCACTGCGAGATGATTGCAATTAACTCTGGATCTAGCGGAGACTAGAAATAACTGCCTCTTGGTATCCCCTAAAATATTGTAGCCCCATGGGTTTAGCTTCATAGCTGACCGACAAGGATCGCATCCAATTTACAACCATTTCCGCCCAAGGTATCTTTTCGCACTTTTTAAAATGTCGACTCGAATTTATTTCGATTTTATTTAGATTTAAACTTGGACCATGATTTTGAGCAAACGCATTTTGAAACTGCCACAGTCTTCGGTGGTGCGGTAAACTCTGTTCGATTGCTAACCCGCTAACCCGCGGCCCGCCGATTCAAGAGACTGGCCGGCTTGTGAAACTCGGCGAGTGCCGGAGAGAATATAAAACAGACTCGCGGTTAGTTTAAAAATAACAAACAAACGGGGAAAAGTCATTTCTCCCGGCGGTTGGCGCAAACATCTCTCGCCGGCCGATGCCAACCAGCCCGCGCCGTTACGTAACCGCGATCCGTCACGACAGACGGAACTATTGCTCGAATATGTCTCGATTATCGTCACACACGTGCGTATCCCATATCAGCGAATGACAATCACAGCCGACACCTCGGAGATCGTTCAACGTGCACAGACGATTGAACCGGTAGACTTCGGCGACGAGCATTCCCATGTTCGGTTGCCGTTCACCGTCCAATCGGATATCATCCCCTAAAACGCTCGCTCTCGGTACACCTCGCACAATGGAAAAAGTCTCCACCGAGAGCAACGATTCGCCGGCGGAGTAATTACGTATGTCCCAGGTGATCGATAAAAAGGCCGAGAGAAGCTAACGGTAGCAATTAAACAATTCCGAGAGAACGATCATTTCGGGTATTCCCATTGGTCTGATAGGGAAGGTGGGTATGTAGGCTTCGTATTGATCACCACGTTGAGGCGACCTTTAACATCCCCTCTCCTTCATTACCTCCACCGTT